CAGAGCAGGTAGGTGGGGCTATGGAGTGTACAAGTTATGGCAGAACTAGTGCAGAGCAGGTAGGTGGGGCTATGGAGTGTACAAGTTTTGTCAGAACTAGTGCAGAGCAGGTAGGTGGGGCTATGGAGTGTACAAGTTTTGTCAGAACTAGCCAAGAGCAGTTAGGTGGGGCTATTGAGTGAACAAGTTATGACAGAACTAGTGCAGAGCAGGTAGGTGGAGCTATGGAGTGTACAGGTTATGACAAAAATAGCACAGAGCAGGTAGGTGGGGCTACGGAGTATACAGGTTATGACAGAACAAGCACAGAGCAGGCAGGTGGAGCTATGGAGTATACAGGTTATGACAAATAGCACAGAGCAGGTAGGTGGGGCTATGGAGTGTACAAGTTATGACAGAACTAGCACAGAACAGGTAGGTGGAGCTATGGAGTGTACAGATTATGACAGAACTAGCACAGAGCAGGTAGGTGGGGCTATGGAGTATACAGGTTATGACAGAACTAGTGCAGAGCAGGTAGGTGGAGCTATAGAGTGTACAGGTTATGACAGAACTAGCACAGAGCAGGCAGGTGGGGCTATGGAGTATACAGGTTATGCAAGAACAAGCACAGAGCAGGCAGGTGGAGCTATGGAGTATACAGGTTATGACAGAAATAGCACAGAGCAGGTAGGTGGGGCTATGGAGTGTACAGGTTATGACAGACAGAACTAGCACAGAGCAGGTAGGTGGAGCTATGGAGTGTACAGGTTATGACAGAAATAGCACAGAGCAGGTAGGTGGGGCTATGGAATGTACAGGTTATGACAGAACTAGTACAGAGCAGGTAGGTGGAGCTATGGAGTATACAGGTTATGACAGAACTAGCGAAGAGCAGGTAGGTGGGGCTATTGAGTAAACAGGTTATGACAGAACTAGCACAGAGCAGGTAGGTGGAGCTATGGAGTGTACAGGTTATGACAGAAATAGCACAGAGCAGGTAGGTGGGGCTATGGAATGTACAGGTTATGACAGAACTAGCACAGAGCAGGTAGGTGGAGCTATGGAGTATACAGGTTATGACAGAACTAGCGAAGAGCAGGTAGGTGGGGCTATTGAGTAAACAGGTTATGACAGAACTAGCACAGAGCAGGTAGGTGGGGCTATGGAGTATACAGGTTATGACAAAAATAGCACAGAGCAGGTATGTGGGGATATGAAGTATACAGGTTATGACAAATAGCACAGAGCAGGTAGGTGGGGCCATGGAGTGTACAGATTATGACAGAACTAGCACAGAGCAGGTAGGTTGGGCTATGGAGTGTACAGATTATGACAGAACTAGCACAGAGTAGGTAGGTTGGGCTATGGAGTGTACAGGTCTATTCCAAGCAGATATCAAATGAATGTTGTAATTCAGGGCCCAAATGAATGTTGTAATTTAGGGCCCAGCATCTTTAAAACCTCCTAGCTGGTTTTCTTACCCAGAAATGCTTATATTCTGTGACAAATGTTAAATGAAATAATTTAATAATAATTGCTTTGACAACAATACCTGAAATCATAACAAAACTGAAGTCCTTTTGAGGGACACAGAGTACTTAAGTCACTGTACTTGTTGGTGATATTATATTCAAAGTCTCAGTCTTCAGAAAGGGCACAAAATATTGATTATCTCATACCAAATACTAAAACATTGATTTTGTATACAGTACTTTCGTGCTGCATGTGAATTTTCTAAATTTTGATTGTTATGAAATTATTTTTGAGTTGAAATGTTTCATTTGTAGGTCTCAGCGGCTGCTGTTTGATGTTTCCTCGCCGAATGGATACCTACTATTTAGAGAAGTCAGCAAGATGATAGTCACATATGGTAGGCTTTGTTTGTTTAGTAAAGTTTTTTTATTCTTGCTACTGCTGATGGGATATGAGGACAGTATGTACTGATGACGGGCCCACTCAAGGCCCATGTCCAACTTTCACCTCACAAAATCATCATAACTTTGATACTTAGTTATTAAGGAGACACATCTGGAAGAAGAGGGGGGATAAATATAGTAGAAAAAAAGGTTAAAATACAGAGTCCTTATGTTAGAGTGGGGACAACAGGTGAAGTGTTTGACACTTCATTGTTCCCAGTGTTAAGAGGAGGGGTTGTAGGGCTTTTGGTTTGTTTGTGTTTTACATTCTATTAACAGCTATAGTTAATTAAGGACGTGTTGGGTTTTGGTGGTGGAGGAAAGCTGGAGTTCCCAGAGAAAAACCACTGATCTACGGCCAGTACCTTGCGACTGCCCCACGTAGGTTTCCAACCCGCGACCCAGTGGTGGAGGGCTAGTGGTAGCAGAATTTCGGACGCCTTAACCCCTTGGCCACCGCGGCCCCAGGTGTAGGGAAAGGTGGCTCTATGAAATTCCCTGTTGAAGCATGTTTTCTTTCTTTGTTTCAGGATCCCGAGTCTTGTCATTAGGAGATATACCAAAGGACCGAACTTATCCAATGAAGTATCCTTTTTGTAGTGGACTTTACTTATCTACCTTTGTATTCTGGAATTTAATATAACGATCCACCAATAATCAAATGGATGGAAGGAGATGATATTTGAATTTCAGGCTATAATGTAATAAAAGGAACATATGAATTTAAATGAAAATGGAGAAAGTAAAAATTGCCTTATTTTTTAAAAAGAAATTATGATCTTGGGGAAATCATAAAATTCCTAAATTAAGTTTTGGGTTTGAACAAATAACCTAGATGTCTGATTGTTTTGATTGGGATGATTTATCCTTAACTCCATTTCAGATTGAAGGGAATTTCCATATGTTTTTCTATGTTAAAGGCAGCATTGTGTGGCTCTTATGTAAACTTTGGCGTGTTTAGACTTTATGGAGACGATGCACTAGATAACGCCCTAGGCATGTTTGTCAAACTGCTGCTGTCAATATCACAACGGGATCTCATGGTAAGTAAATGGATTGGCTAGTTGGTTTCCGTACCTACCTATCTTTTGTGAGCTATTTCTCCGTATACCTACCATGTCTTTATGTTCGCATGAAGACTTCCCTTCATCGTGTGTCTCAGCTTAGGCCAATATTAATAGACACCCAAAGACACAAAATCAACACATATCTCAAATGTCTGCTCTTAATTCTCCATACTAGCATATGTTTGAAGTAGGTCTCAACAATAGACAACATCTAAAACATGTCCTGCGGCACGTAGGGGATATGAGTTCCACAAGTTTGCTTGTGTGGTTATTTGTTTACATTGAAATCATTCTGTGTTGACAAGCGTGATATTTGTAATCCTGTATTTATGAGATCCCTTTGTGTTGACAAGCGTGATATTTCTAATCCTGTATTTAGGAGATCCCTTTGTGGTGGCAAGCGTGATATTTCTAATCCTGTATTTAGGAGATCCATTTGTGTTGACAAGTGTGATATTTCTAATCCTGTATTTATGAGATCCCTTTGTGTTAATGAATGTGATATTTCTAATCCTGTATTTATGAGATCCCTTTGTGTTAATGAATGTGATATTTCTAATCCTGTATTTATGATATCCCTTTGTGCTGATGAGCGTGATATTTGTAGTCCTGTATTTATGAGATCCCTTTGTGTTGATGAATATGATATTTGTAATCCTGAATTTATGAGATCCCTTTGTGTTGATGAGTGTGATATTTGTAATCCTGAATTTATGAGATCCCTTTGTGTTGATGAGCGTGATATTTGTAATCCTGTATTTAGGAGATCCCTTTGTGTTGGCAAGCGTGATATTTCTAATCCTGTATTTAGGAGATCCCTTTGTGTTGACAAGTGTGATATTTCTAATCCTGTATTTATGAGATCCCTTTGTGTTGACAAGCGTGATATTTCTAATCCTGTATTTATGAGATCCCTTTGTGTTGACAAGTGTGATATTTCTAATCCTGTATTTATGAGATCCCTTTTTGTTGACAAGCGTGATATTTCTAATCCTGTATTTAGGAGATCCATTTGTGTTGACAAGTGTGATATTTCTAATCCTGTATTTATGAGATCCCTTTGGGTTGATGAGTGTGATATTTCTAATCCTGTATTTAGGAGATGCCTTTGTGTTTATGAGCGTGATATTTCTAATCCTGTATTTATGAGATCTCTTTGTGTTTATGAGCGTCATATTTGTAATCCTGTAGTTATGAGATCCCTTTGTGTTGATGAGTGTGATATTTGTAATCCTGTATTTATGAGATCCCTTTGTGTTGATGAGTGTGATATTTGTAAGCCTGTATTTATGAGATCCCTTTTTGTTGATGAATGTGATATTTCTAATCCTGTATTTATGAGATCCCTGTGTTGTTGATGAGTGTACTTTTTTACGAGTAGGACTACCCGAAGCTGAGTCAGAATTACTACGGTCTCCTGGAATGCCTGGCCAATGATCACATGACGTTCATCAGTAACTTGGAACCACAGGTCTTTCTCTACATCCTCACCACCATCTCGGAGGGGCTCACTGCACTAGGTAGGGCCTTCTAACCCTCTCTACCATCCTCCAACCTCAACACTTCTCTCTTCTCAAATTACATGTTTAGCATATTTATTGCCAAATAATACCATTTACTGCCCAAAAAACATTGCATATATGCTAAATGACCACAATTTATTTTCTTGTGTAGTAATTTTGTGTCTTGTGTTTATTCTTAATTGTCATAATACTGATTGTATTTCTTATGTGAAAGTGGAAATTTCCACTTGTTGAAATATTCATGTTGTGACTCTTTAAACTGAGTGCGATGTGGAAAATATAGCTATAATCTATAAATATATATTCCTGTGTGGATATTTTCAGGCTATTATCTTAAATGCGGAATATGAAATCGTTTCCACACCATGTAAATTTCCACTTTGACCATAGGTTTTTACGGTTTTTTTTTGAAAATCTTTCCGAGATATTTATTCACAAATTAAAAATAGTGAGAAATGTTTGTCCTCTTCCTTCAGACACAATGGTTTGTACAGGATGTTGTGCTACCCTCGACACAATCATCACATACCTGTTCAAACGCCTCACGACCAAGAAGAAGAAATCTCACCCAGGAACAGTTCCCGACAGCGAAGCTTTCTTACGCATTCTAGAACTCCATCCCGACATCCTCCAGCAGGTACTGTACTACATATAATGTCCAAACAGAACCGTGATTAACCAAAATACCTGTCTAAATGGAACTTTGAGTTATCCTGAAATCTTTCTATACCTTGCACAGAATCAAACAGAAAAGCTTTCAAAATGTGACATTTGAATGATAAGAAATTCTGCCTTAACTGAAGCCTGTACAGTGAGAAATATGTCTACAATGAACAGTTAATAATTAGTAAATCTGTCTTACATGAATCCTGAAAGTTGAACCCTTACTAATAGGGGTAAGCATCTCCAAACTGAACACTGGATAGTTAAAAGCTGTATAAACGAAACCCTGAATAATAAGGAAACCTCACTAGAATGAATCCTGAAAAATAGGGGAAAACCAGTCATATCTGAACCCAGAATTATAGTGTAAAATCTGTCTATAAAAGTAAACCCTAGATAAAGGTGGAAAACTAGCTTACAAATAACCCTGTTTAATACGAAAACCTGCCTAAATTCAACCCAGAATAATCAGGAACTATGCCTAATCCAAACCCTGCCTAAACTGAACACTGAAATAAGGAAACCTTGCATTAACTGAACCCTGAAATAAGGAAACCCTGCCTTAACTGAACACTGAANTTGTAGTCCTGTATATATGAGATCCCTTTGTGTTGATGAGTGTGATATTTGTAATCCTGTATTTATGAGATCCCTTTGTGTTGATGAGCGTGATATTTCTAATCCTGTATTTATGAGATCCCTTTGTGTTGATGAGTGTGATATTTGTAAGCCTGTATTTATGAGATCCCTTTTTGTTGATGAATGTGATATTTCTAATCCTGTATTTATGAGATCCCTGTGTTGTTGATGAGTGTACTTTTTTACGAGTAGGACTACCCGAAGCTGAGTCAGAATTACTACGGTCTCCTGGAATGCCTGGCCAATGATCACATGACGTTCATCAGTAACTTGGAACCACAGGTCTTTCTCTACATCCTCACCACCATCTCGGAGGGGCTCACTGCACTAGGTAGGGCCTTCTAACCCTCTCTACCATCCTCCAACCTCAACACTTCTCTCTTCTCAAATTACATGTTTAGCATATTTATTGCCAAATAATACCATTTACTGCCCAAAAAACATTGCATATATGCTAAATGACCACAATTTATTTTCTTGTGTAGTAATTTTGTGTCTTGTGTTTATTCTTAATTGTCATAATACTGATTGTATTTCTTATGTGAAAGTGGAAATTTCCACTTGTTGAAATATTCATGTTGTGACTCTTTAAACTGAGTGCGATGTGGAAAATATAGCTATAATCTATAAATATATATTCCTGTGTGGATATTTTCAGGCTATTATCTTAAATGCGGAATATGAAATCGTTTCCACACCATGTAAATTTCCACTTTGACCATAGGTTTTTACGGTTTTTTTTTGAAAATCTTTCCGAGATATTTATTCACAAATTAAAAATAGTGAGAAATGTTTGTCCTCTTCCTTCAGACACAATGGTTTGTACAGGATGTTGTGCTACCCTCGACACAATCATCACATACCTGTTCAAACGCCTCACGACCAAGAAGAAGAAATCTCACCCAGGAACAGTTCCCGACAGCGAAGCTTTCTTACGCATTCTAGAACTCCATCCCGACATCCTCCAGCAGGTACTGTACTACATATAATGTCCAAACAGAACCGTGATTAACCAAAATACCTGTCTAAATGGAACTTTGAGTTATCCTGAAATCTTTCTATACCTTGCACAGAATCAAACAGAAAAGCTTTCAAAATGTGACATTTGAATGATAAGAAATTCTGCCTTAACTGAAGCCTGTACAGTGAGAAATATGTCTACAATGAACAGTTAATAATTAGTAAATCTGTCTTACATGAATCCTGAAAGTTGAACCCTTACTAATAGGGGTAAGCATCTCCAAACTGAACACTGGATAGTTAAAAGCTGTATAAACGAAACCCTGAATAATAAGGAAACCTCACTAGAATGAATCCTGAAAAATAGGGGAAAACCAGTCATATCTGAACCCAGAATTATAGTGTAAAATCTGTCTATAAAAGTAAACCCTAGATAAAGGTGGAAAACTAGCTTACAAATAACCCTGTTTAATACGAAAACCTGCCTAAATTCAACCCAGAATAATCAGGAACTATGCCTAATCCAAACCCTGCCTAAACTGAACACTGAAATAAGGAAACCTTGCATTAACTGAACCCTGAAATAAGGAAACCCTGCCTTAACTGAACACTGAAATAAGGGGAAACCCTGCCTTAACTGAACCCTGAAATGAGGAAACCCTGCCTAAACTGAACCCTGAAATAAGGAAACCCTGCCTTAACTGAACACTGAAATAAGGAAACCCTACCTTAACTGAACCCTGAGATAAGGAAACCCTGCCTTAACTGAACACTGAAATAAGGAAACCCTGCCTAAACTGAACACTGAAATAAGGAGAACCTGTCTTAACTGAACCCTGAAATAAGGAAACCCTGAAATAAGGAAACCCTGCCTTAACTGAACACTGAAATAAGGAGAACCTGTCTTAACTGAACACTGAAATAAGGAAACCCTGCCTAAACTGAACACTGAAATAAGGAAACCCTGCCTTAACTGAACCCTGAAATAAGGAAACCCTGCCTTAACTGAACCCAGAATTAATGAAACCCTGCCTAAACTGAACACTGAAATAAGGAAACCCTGCCTTAACTGAACACTGAAATAAGGAGAACCTGCCTTAACTGAAGCTAAAAATGAGGAAATAAGTTTTAACTGAACCATTAATTATCAAGGAACTTCTCTAAAGTGAACCATTAATACTTTCAGAAATCTCCATAACAGGACCTTCAGGTCTCCAATAATCTGCTTCCCATGTATGGCATATTGGCATCGATACCTGCCAGGTGGTTCTCATTGTGTTTATTTCTTTTTGAATGAAACCTCATTTATCCGAAATGCAACAATGTTTATTCTGAAAAACTTATAAAATATCCTTAGCGTAGACTGGTTTCACAACTGTAAAACATTAAGGATAAAATGCCATTCAACTTCCCTAAAATGTAAAGTTATGGTGTAGTATTCTTGGGTTGAAACAAAATAAGGGATAAAGGATACGCCGCACCTCCAGGTCACAGGGACCTGAGAATTTGTTACAACTATATTTTGTAAAAATGCCACCCCTAATGATGGTTTATACGAGAAGGAAGGAAAGCTGTCCATGTCGAAAAATTGGCCCCACCTAACTTTCTTTCGTCAAAACCAAATTTTTAGTTGATGTAGAAATGAATGCTTAGTACATGATCTCTGTTTCCTCTGACATCACATACCATTTGGATCTTTGAAAGATTGCTACAGTCATAGAGCTACTTTTTCCATATTCCTGAGGTTAATATGTTCTAGTGAACAGCCTACAATCCTGTTGGTGGGTATTTTTATAAATCTATAAATAGATAGATTTCACAACATATCTTTACAAGCCAGCAAGAGGTGAAGTGTTCGCTCAAATACAATAACTTTAATATCTGAAATTCACAAAGACCTTGTTGATTTAGAACTAGGATGAATATATGGTTATTTTCTTTGTGTTTATATATTTTCTATCTTCTGTAGATGCTGTCAACTGTGCTAAATATCATCATGTTTGAAGACTGCCGGAACCAGTGGTCCATGTCACGGCCGCTGTTAGGTCTCATCTTACTGAATGAGGAGGTATGTGAGGTTATGTCCCCTGATCTTATTGATTCACTAGCTACTGTATACCAGCACATTTTTGCCGCAGTTTAAATTTCGCCTTTTTCGTCTTCCGTACAGATGGCAAATTTATCATTACAGCGAATATTAATTAGTAAACATTGTTTTATATATATAGTAATTAAATCTGAAGGCGAAATAAAACCTGGGCATATATGGATTTTGACCGCAAAGGGCGAAAATTTGTCTGGTGTACAGTATAGTGTGTTGCCCCCATTTATTATTGAACAAAGAGTTATGGTTGGACAAATTTGTGAACTAAGTGAACTCAAAAATAATCTCTTAGTCTTTTTTAGTCCTGAACATGTGATGGCTAATATCACAGATGTCAAATGCTGTGATATATAAACCAATAATAATATAGTCAAACAAATATTTAGAAGCCTTTTTATGCCTGACCAGGCAAGACGTGCAGTCAGTAACAATATTGTGCTACACTTTTATCTAGTTTGGAGAAAAACCTGTTTCAAAATGTGGTAAAATAATGTGCCTACCGATTTTACCTATGATAAGCCAATGTCTGGTAATAACCCACCCTCCACTTTTCCTTACTTTTGGTATATCTTATTGTAGTGCTATGCTATAAATATTTGTTTAAAGTCAGGTTTAGTTTAATTTCTGTATGACTTACTGCCTTGTTGTTGTATTTCAGTACTTTAACAAGTTACGAGACACTATTATCTCCAGCCAGCCCGGGGATAAACAGCAGAGGATGGTCCAGTGCTTCGAAAACTTAATGAATGGAATTGAGCGGTCACTTTTGACCAAGAACAGAGATAGGTAAGGGTTTTATATGATTGATATTATTAATGTAAAACCTTTTTAGAATTTCTTAGTACACTTGTAAATATTAATGTAAAACTTATATAATTTCTTGGTACACTTGTAAATATCAACGTAAAACCTATATAATTTCTTGGTACACTTGTACAATATGTATGTACTTATTGTGACATGCTTGTAATGTTCAATCAAAGGTTTTTTGAAACATTTAGAGGGATATGCATACCGGGTAAAAGTTCATGTTCTTATTTCGGAAATTGAAGGAAAGATTTCAGCTTTTTTCTCAATTTTTTTATGTCTGATTCCTTCAATTTATCATGGGTTACATTTTTGTTAGTCACCATCTTCAGACCCAACTTCAACACTTTCACAAGTGTAAATGGCCACCTCCTTGAGAAATTTGGTTTTCATTTGATGCCTAGACTTGTACATTATTTCCTGACAAGATGAGAGAAAAATACATGGAATACCTGTATGTATAAATCTGTGTGTCCTTTTTTTAATGGTGATTGAAAATTCTGCTTTTTGTGCTTATGAATTTAGATCAAATTCAAAACCTGTGTCAAGGAATTTTCAATTCTTCCACAGAAACCTGAAAGAATCTCAGACTTATATTCCATGAATTTGTTTGTCAGACTTAGTCCATCAATGCATGAAATCGGATTTCATTAACCATTTCACCCCTATGTAACTTCATTAAACTCTTCCATGCATTGAGCGGGATGAGTCTATTATGGTCTACAGTGGTGAAAGGGTTAAATGAATTATTTTTATATTACTTACAGATGGTTGTATTTTGGTATATTTCAGGTTTACACAGAATTTGTCGGTGTTTCGTCGTGATGTGAATGACTCTTTAAAAGCCCCCGGTGGCCAAAGTCCTATTCCTTCCTCCTCTTCTTCACTAGACATGATGAGTTATAGCTAATGTTTGTTCCCTGTGGTGTGAGAGTGTTTCTAGGTGATCTCTTAAAATGGTCATTCGGCCTCGGTGACTTGCGACTAGTGCTCACCAGGCCATGGTATGGATGGTCAATGTCTGGACAGCTGGACACTAAGCTATGGTGAGGATGGTCATTTTATAGTGTTCAACATTTGTTATGGAGTGAATAATCATTGGACGCCATGTGGGTTATCGTCGTCTGCGCGGACGTGGATGGTTATTCGACATTCGTTATGGAGTGAATAATCATTGGACGGGACTATTGGACGCCATATGGATTATCGGCGGCGGCACAGACGTGGATGGTTATTCGACATTTGTGTAGGATGTGGTTTGTGTTCTTGTCCAGTTGTAACTGGACACCTGTATAAATGGGTCATTACTCTGCCTCAGACCATAGCATTAAGGGCATATGCTACCTTACATCTTTTTTTCAAGAGAGTTCCGTGCTTAGGAATCTGTAAAATACATTTATTATAAATGTTGAATTGGATTTAGTCAATAAGTTAACTCATTCACCCCTGACATTTCATAATGAAATATTCAAACCTTTGATCTGCACGAGTTCAAATGTGTCTTCAGGGGTGAATGTGTTAACATGCTGTGATATCACTTTGGGAATTATTTTTAAGGTTTGGATGATGCAGATTTAAACAGGAGTGATGGAGATCACACAACTGTTGTGCACTGGTGGTCTCTTTAAACAGGTGGTCTCATAATAGAGGTGGTCAGATGAGCTGGTTTGATTGTAGAATATGTAAGGTAGCATATATCTTTGAATCATTAATTTGCAAAGCACATATCTCTGTTCATGAAATACTTCATTTCTGTTACAGATTTTTTCCTATGAATTCCAATAGTAAATTGTTCATGCTGAAAGTATTTGAAATCAAGTAGGGTGCTTTAAATAACTCTTCAGGGGTTGGGGCCTGGGGGAAGGTTTTGTATCAATACAGAAATTATTTGAATTTAGAGCAATTTCTGCTTTTTATTACCGTATACTTACCTGGGATGATGGATAGAAAAGTATAAATTTAATATATGTATGGAGTTGTGGAAAGCCTTGTCTGTGTGGTGATTGGGCACCTCCATAGCAACAGTGTGATATACATGGATTCATTTAAAAAGTGTTCATGTGAAGGTGTTAGCCTGGCAAACTAAAAGATGAGTGTTTGAATTGGCCTGCTCCCTTCATCAGTGTAACTGTGTGTAAGGATCAGTGTTTGTGAGGGTATGCTGTAATTGGTGTTAAGTGTTTGTGAGGGCATGTTGTAGTTGGTATATCAGTGTTTGTGAGGGCATGTTGTAATGGGTATATCAGTGTTTGTGAGGGCATGTTGTAATGGGTATATCAGTGTTTGTGAGGGTATGTTGTAATGGTTTAACATTGTTTGTGAGGGCATGTTGATATGGTTTAACAGTGTTTGTGAGGGCACGTTGTAATGGTTTAACATTGTTTGGGAGGGCATGTTGTAATGGGGATATCAGTGTTTGTGAGTGCATGTTGTAATGGGTATATCAGTTTTTGTGAGGGCATGTTGTCATGGGTATATCAGTGTTTTTGAGGGCATGTTGTAATGGATATCGGTGTTTGTGAGGGCATGTTGTCATGGGTATATCAGTGTTTGTGAAGGCATGTTGTAATGGGTATATCAGTGTTTGTGAAGGCATGTTGTAATGGTTCAACAGTTTTTGAGGGCATGCATAATGGTTTATCAGTGTTTGTGAGGGCATGTTGTAATGGTTTAACAGTTTTTGAGGGCATGCATAATGGTTTATCAGTGTTTGTGAGGGCAGGTTGTAATGGATATATCAGTGTTTGTGAGGGCATGCTGTAATTGGTGTTAAGTGTTTGTGAGGGCATGTTGTAATGGAAATTTCATTGTTTGTGAGGGCAAGCTTAATGGGTGTGTAAATATTTGTGAGGGAATAAATGCTTAACTGGATGTTTCAGTGTTTGTGTGAGGGCATGTTGTACTTGGATTTTCATTGTGCAAATGTCTGTGAGGGCATGCTTTAATGGGGGTGTAAGTGTTTATGAGGGGGATGTTTGTCCTGTTTAAATATGTGGAAAACTTTTGGAAAGGAGGTGTATATCAAATAAGATAGCATACACCCTTAAGTGCTATATTTTGTGGAAATGCTAAAAGAAATGTAAAGCTTCATGAGTGTAATGACATTTTTATACTTTTTCATCATCAGACAGTGCACATTATATTGTTGCTAATAGTTGTGAGGAAATGAATTTCAAGAATTCAAGTACCTCGCTTGTTTTTGCACATTTGAGATAGAAACAAAAAAACTAAACAGTCCAGACCCAGGAGGAGAAATGTATTGTGTGGATCACTAAGTACACACAGAACCACTGCAGGAGAGAGTTAATCTTTAATTGGGGTAGTACAGAGTATAAAAAGTGCTTGAAATAGTGATAGTGCTTATATCATAACTTCAGTTTAAAAAAGTGCTTTAATCTAAGAAAGAGAAAGTTCCTTTGAAGTGCTTGAATTCATTGATTCTCTTTATTTTTCATAATTTCACTGTATGTCGGAAACAAAATGTCCAGCAAGTGATAATAGATTTTGATTTTATATCAATTTAATTGAGTTAAAGAAGTTTCAAGTACAACCTACATGTACATGTACGTACGTAGGCCGAAGCTTGCTTGTTATACTTCAAAAGTGCTCTACATACATGTATGTATTAAATGAGTGCATATGAAAATTCAGAGAATGCTTAGACAGGTTTTATTAATTGGCTGTCTTCCCTTTTGAATTATTTAACAACAAAAATGTGAAAATGTAAACAAACTATTCTAATGCTTCAACGTTCCAAATGTGATATTGAAAAGTGCTTGTATACTATTACATATATATATTAATTATCATATAACAAAATGATTTATAAGCAGTGTATTACAAGATTTCGGATGTTCACAGGGAAGTGATGCACTGCCACATAGATAATTCTGATTTGAAGCTTATAGTCCTAGTGCTGGGAGAGTTTGTTCAGCTCACTAGACCCTGATTTAAAGCTTATAGTCCTGGTGGTAGGAGAGATTGTTCAGCTCACTAGACCCTGATTTAAAGCTTATAGTCCTGGTGGTAGGAGAGATTGTTCAGCTCACTAGACACTGATATAAAGCTTATAGTCCTAGTGCTAGGAGAGATTGTTCAGCTCACTAGACACCGTGCATTGTCCGTCCTTCTGTCCATTCCGTCCTGTCCCTGTTTGTCCAGTGTACTATTTCATCTTATTAATATTAAAATCAGATTGAAAAAAATTGGTATGTAAGTACTTCTTGGGATGGCATTCTAAAAGTAGGTCACGGTGACCTATATGTTGATGGCTGTGTGGAGCTTGTTTAAAATAGAAGGATAACTAAACCTGGTACAGAGATATACTTACAGCAGACATTTCCACTCTAATTTAGAACTTTAACCGAGGCTAGACAATAAGGGCAGCCTGATAGTCTGAGACCAGTGAAATCTCCAGCTGGACTGTTTATCCTAAAAACCGCTAACCTGATTGACTAGACTGCTCAGCTTTTTGAATAATATAGGGTTAGTGGAATCTGCCCATGGACTATTAATAATTGGACACTTCTATCCTGATTGACTGGTGGTAATCAGAATTAATTTCTAGCCCTGCAAGTTTAACGTAAATTGAAGAAAGGCAAGTTGCATATTGTATTCTACCTTTATACCAGTGGGCAGGGGTATGAATTGTTACACAATAAGTCACAAACAGAAGTGCTGTTATTGTGTTCAATATAGGCAACTTCCATTTCATGCAGTAATGGAAAAAGAACAGTATTTGATGCCAACATGTGTAAACTGCTTGAGATGTAGGGAACACATAAATATGTAGACAGTCCACTTTGTAAGTTTATATCATGAGGGTGTTTAATGTTTGAGTAATTAACCTGTGTGTATGTGGTTTTCATTCACGTGTCGGTATGTCTGTGGTATGTATGTACATGTATGACAGCACATGTATGCAGGTTTATGTGGCGGTCTGTATAACAATTAAGGACTAAGAGGCTAGTATGTGGATATATAGACCGGAAAAAATAGTTATTCACTAGATGAGGGAAGTGTCGGTTATAGTATCATGTTGCGACTAGATGATGGGAATGTCGTGTTCATGATAGTATCATGGTGTGACTAGATGATGGGAATGTCGTGTTCATGATAGCATCATGGTGTGACTAGATAATGGGAATGTCTGTATTCATGATAGCATCATGTTGTGACTAGATGATGGGAATGTCGGTTTTCATGATAGCATCATGGTGTGACTAGATGATGGGAATGTCGGTGTTCATGATAGCATCATGATGTGACTAGATGATGGGAATGTCGGTGTTCATGATAGCATCATGGTGTGACTGGTTAAGGGAATGTCAGAGAAAACATCAGGGTGTGACTGGTTAAGGGAATGTCAGAGAAAACATAGGGTGACTAAATGGGGGGAAATGTCAGTGATAACATCATGTTGTGACTAGATGAGGGGAATGTCAGTGATAACATCATATTGTGACTAGATGTTGGGAATGTCAGGGATAACATCATGTTGTGACTAGATGTTGGGAATGTCAGTGATAACATCAGGTTGTGCCTAGATGAGGGGAATATCAGAGATAACATCATGTTGTGACTAGAAGAGGGGAATATCAGTGATAACATCATGGTGTGACTAGATGATGGGAATGTTAGTGATAACATCATGGTGTGACTAGATGTTGGGAATGTCAGTGATATCATCATGTTGTGACTAGATGATGGGAATGTCGGTGTTCATGATAGCATCATGGTGTGACTGGTTAAGGGAATGTCAGAGAAAACATAAGGTGACTAAATGGGGGAAATGTCGGTGATAACATCATGTTGTGACTAGATGAGGGGAATATCAGTGATAACATCATGTTGTGAATAGATGTTGGGAATGTCAGTGATATCATCATGTTGTGACTAGATGTTGGGATTGTCAGTGATAACATCATGTTGTGACTAGATGTTGGGAATGTCAGTGATAACATCATGTTGTGACTAGATGTTAGGAATGTCAGTGATAACATCATATTGTGACTAGATGTTGGGAATGTCAGTGATAACATCATGTTGTGAATAGATGTTGGGAATGTCAGTGATAACATCATGTTGTGACTAGATAAAAGGAATGTCAGTGATAACATCATGTTGTGACTAGATAAAAGGAATGTCAGTGATAACATCATGTTGTGACTAGATAAAAGGAATGTCAGTGATAACATCATGTTGTGACTAGATGAGGGGAATGTCAGTGATAACATCATGGTGTGACTAGATAAAAGGAATGTCAGTGATAACATCATGTTGTGACTAGATAAAAGGAATGTCAGTGATAACACCATGGTGTGACAAGATGAGTGGAATGTCAGTGTTCATGGTATCATCATATGATGTGACTAGATGAGATAAATGTCAATAAATAATTGGTGTGACTGGATGAAGGGAATGTTTAAGAGTTGTGTATGTCTGTGTGAA